GCTTCAAAAGACTTCAAAAGAATAGACCAATGAGTAGTAAGTAAGATACATGGAGAGGAGGAAAGAATCGCCGTATTGTTCCTACATGCAGCCCGGCCGTGTCTTCCGGCGCCAGCCGCCGGGCAGGCGTGGCTGGTGCAGGCGAGGGCAGCGCCACAGGCGCAAACAGGGACGGTGAAGCGACGGAAGCGGGCAGCATGGCCGGGGCTCGGAACAACGGGAGGGCAGGGAAAAACGACAAGAACCACCGCGAGCGGGGGAAGAAACCGGAGCTTGGATGAGACCACAAGACTGTATAGATATCCAGTATTTTTACAGCTTGAGCCCCGCCGCCTGGGTAGCATGGGCACTCACTTGCCTGACCTCTGCCCGGCTCACCGCCGCCTTGCCATGCCCAAGAACGACTACCTCGTGATCTCCCGCGGCCAGTGGGATGCCGATGCCCGCCCTGAAGACGTGCAGCAGGCCATCGACGCCTTCTATGTCTGGTACGAGCAGGGCCTGGCCAGCGGGCGCCTCAAGCCCGGCAGCCGGCTGCAACCCGAGGCCCGTGTCGTCGGCCGCGGAGGCATCGTCACCGACGGCCCCTTTGCCGAGACGAAGGAGTGGGTGGGGGGCTACTGGATCATCGTGGCGGCGTCGCTCGACGACGCCGTGGCGATCGCCGCCGAGAACCCCTGCCTCCAGCACGGCCTGACGCTGGAGATCCGTCCGCTGGACCCCGCCCGCGCCGATGTGCGCGTGCTGGCCAACGAAACCCCGCCGACCTGGCGCTGAGCGCGCCCAGCCCTGCCGCGCCGGGCATCCGCCCGGCCTTGTCGCACGTCAGGAGACGGGCGGCGTCGTGCGGCATCGTGTTGGCGGATCCGTTCGTGTCGCCCAGCGCGAGTTTCGTACCGCACGCCAGGCGCTTCGTGACAAAAATCACGTTCCCACGATGCGCTCTTGAGAATCGCTTCAACCGTGAGGACTTTGATGAAGCGACTTCTCGTTGGGCTCGGACTGATCGCATCACCCATCCTGGGTCAGGCTGACTCTGTCACGGTCTCCTCAGCCGCGACCGGCTCGACGGCCTCCGGCCGGCTCGACGTCTCCATCACGGTTCCCGCCGTGCTCTATCTGCGCATCGGCACGGGCAGCGCGGTTGCCGCCGCCAACAACCCGACCATCGACGCGCTGACCTTCACCGTGCCGGCCACCAACATCGGCGATGGCACCGTCATCAGCGCGGCCGCCGGCAACGGTGACCAAGGCAACGGGGCCGTGACCGTGCGCGTGTTCAGCAACGTCGGCACGAACGTCTCCTTGAATTCCAACGTCGCCGGCCAGTTGAAGTCGCCCGCCGGCGACACCATCCCCTGGTCCCAGATCGCCGTGGCCTCCGCTGCGCTGCCGGTGCCCAGCAGCGGCTACACGAACGGCCCGATCACCCATCCTGCCTTCTCTGCCACCGCGGGCAACGGCACCGCCACGACGCTCACCGCGGTGGGCAAGCTCCTCCGGGTGGAAGGCCGATGGACGTTCAGCTACTCGAACACGAGCGTCGTCCCCGCAGGCACCTACGGCAGCACGGTCGCCAACTTCGGCCGGGTGACCTACACCGCCACGCAGCTCTGATTCCCTCCACAACGCCCACCCCCATGAAACACCTTCTCAAGCACCGCCTGGCTATCGGGTTCGTGAGCACGCTGGGGTTCCTGCCTCTGGCGTCGCAGGCCGAATCGACCAGCACCACGAGCGCTGTCACCGGTTCCACGGCGACCGCCCGTCTCGACTTCACGGTCGTCATCCCGGCCGTGCTCTATCTGCGCATCGGCACCGGCAGTGCCATCGCCGCGGCCAACAACACGACGGTCGACGCCATCAACTTCACCGTGCCCGCCGCCAACCTCGGTGACGGCACCGTCGTCAACGCCGCTGCGGCGAGCGGTGATCTGACGAATGGCGCGGTCACAGTGCGCGTCTTCAGCAACGTGGGGACGAACGTCACCTTGAATTCGAGTGTCACCGGCCAACTGTCGAACGGCGCGGGCGACACCATCCCGTGGTCGCAGATCGCGGTCGCCGCCGCAGCGCTCACGACCGGGACAGCCGGTTTCACCAACGGCGTCATCACCCATCCGGCCTTCTCCTCCTCGACGGGGGCGGGCACCGCCACCACGTTGACGGCCGTCAGCAAGCTGGTTCGCCAGGAGGGCCGGTGGACCTTCAGCTACAGCAATGCCAATGTGGTGCCGGCCGGTACCTATGGGGCGACCGTGGCGAACAACGGGCGGGTGACGTACACCGCCGCGCAGCTCTGAAGCGGACGCCGGTACCTGCCCGCATGCCACGCCGCGTGGCGGCGGTCCGCCGCCTCAAACGGGCCTGCGCGGGGTGCGGCGGGTGGGCCGGTGTGGCCCTGGCCCTGTCGTACGGGGCAGGTGCTGCCCACGCCTATGTCTTCACCTTGAGCCCGGCGCCGCGTGCGCTGTATCTGGCCGTCGGAACGGCCACGCTGAGCGGCGGCTCCCTGCTCAGTGGCGGGACGCCCGGCAACAACCCGACCGTGAACCTGGTGAGCGTCAGCGTCCCGGTCGGCTCCTTGGGAAGCGGCCCGGTGGCGATGACCACCAACAACCCCACGGCCAACAGCCTCCTGGACAATTTTTCCTTCTGCTCGGTGCCCGCGGAGATGTACATCGGTGGCTTCTTCCGAGCGCCCAGCAGTGCGGGGGCCTCCGCGACCTTGACGGTGACGGCTCCCGCCTCGCTGATCCAGGCCACATCGACCCTGCCGATGAGCAGCATTTCCTGGACCTCGGGCGGCATCGGTGACGCGACTCCGACGATCCCCAGCGGCAGCTTCGTCGGCGGGGCGCCTCAGTCGCTGCTGCTCGTGAACGCCAACACCTGGTTCGAATCGTGCCTGCGGTTCTCCTACGCCAATGCGTCCGTGGTTCCGGCCGGCACCTACACCGCCCGGGTCGTCTACACCTTGACGGCGCCTTGAACGCCATGCGTGGTCTCGTCAGGCGCTGGGTGTTGGCGGGGCTTGCAACCCCGGCGCTGGTATCCACGTCGATGGCGGCTGGGCCGACGCTGGTGTCGCGCGTGGACGACACGGGGACGATCGTCTCGAGCCCGGTCGTTGCGATGGCCTGGCGGCAGAGTGTCCCGGGGCGCCGCGCCGATCACGCGGTGGAGGCGGTGGTCGGCGTGCGCGTGCGCCTGAACCTGTCGCCCTGGGCCGGCCGGCGCATCCACCTCTACATGGTGCTCGCCCCCACCCCCGGACGGTTGGTGCAGGCGTCCTGGCAGGGGGGCGGCCGGCTCCTGCCCGGTGTGTTGAAGTCGGGCGAGCGGGCCCTCGTGTTCTCGGGCTTGGCGACATCGCCCGCGCTGGCCGAGACGCTCGAACTGACGGTCACGACGGACGGCCGGACCCTGGAGTCGCCCGCGCAGCTCAGCTTCCACTTCGAAACGGAACCAGCCTGATGCCTCGACGCTGGCGGTGGGTTGCGAGCGCGTTCGGCATGGCCCTGGTGGCGCCGGCCTGCCTGGCTGAATTCGCGCTCGGCGTGTCACCGCCGCGCTTCGAGCTGCAGGGGCGATCCGGTCAGGTCTTGCGGCAGGCCCTGACCTTGAGCAACGGCAGCTCACGCATGGCTTCCTTCCAGGTGTCCACCGCCGATTGGCGTCTGGCGGCCGATGGCACGGTGACCTTCAGCGAGGCCCTGGCCGAAGGCTCGTGCCGCCCCTGGGTCGCGATTGAACGGCGTGACCTCAAGGTGGCGCCCGGCGGGCAGTACCGCTTCCGCTTCGAGGTGGCGCTGCCCCCGGACGCCGAGCCCCGTGAGTGCAGGTTCGCGCTGATGTTCGAAGGCGAAGGGGACGCCGCGGACCTGGCCGGTGTTCGCCTGCCGATTGCCGCACGCGTGGCCGTCGTGGTCTATCTCGGGGTGAATGGTGTGCAGCCGCGCCTGAGCGTCCTGGGCGGCAGCGTCGTGAAGGCCAACGGGCTTTGGGCGCCGGCCTTGGACATCCGCAACGACGGCGACGCCCATGGCCGGCTCGACGGCTTCCTCTCCGGCCTGGATGCCCGCCAGACGCGGCTTGACCTGCGCCCCGCCAACACGCCGGTCCTGCCGGGCGAAATCCGGACGATCGTGCTGGTGCCGTCGAGATCGGGCAGCCCCGAGACGCAATCCGATGTGGCGTTTCCCGTGCAGGTGAAAGGGCGCCTGGAGTGGGGCCACCGCCAGACCATCGATGTCGACTTGCGAATCGACCGGCCGCCACCGGCTGCGGATGCCCGATGACCTGACTCATGTCGCGTCGCAGTCCCCTGCCTGGCGCCGCCGTTCAGCTGGCGCTGCTGATGGTGTTCAAGGCCGCCTGGGCCGATGCCGTCGACGCGCCGGGCGCCACGACCGCTGCGGCGCTGCCGCGTTATGTGGACCGCGTGCTGGACGAGGGGCCTCAGGACCCGCGGTCCCTGCGCACTACAGACGCAGGCGACACGTCGCCGGGCTGGCCCCGGGGTGTGCAGATCGAACAAGCCTGGACCCGCGGCTCCTTCGTTCCTGCCGCAGCACAGCGGACCCTGTCGGTGCAGGGCTTCGTCGAGCCGACGGGATGGGGCGTCGTCTCCTTCGCTTGCGCGGGTGGGCGGGGCGAGGGCAGCGGCGCGGGCCTGGGTTGCCCGTCGCGCCGTCTGGACTGGCGGGCGCTGCCGCTGCGCGGCGGATGGGTCGCCAACTTTTCGGCCGGGCAGC